TTGGAATTCTAATCCCTATTACAAAAGTCAAAAAAAAAAAACCGACTTTTTTTTAGATTATCTTATATTCGAAAATCTCACCTATAGTATCAGACAGGAAAATCGAAAAATTTTTCAAAAATTTATTCTTGAATTAAAAAGATGTAAACTTTCTGAAATAAATTTAAAATAATGAAAATCATTTCATAATAAATAAAAATATGAATATCGCAAAAAGAAATTTGTGATTTTCTGAATTTTAAGAGTATGGTTAGTCTTTTTTTTCCCTTGGCTTTTATGAAAAGCATTTTTTAGATATAAATCTAAAGCATGGATCAAATCAAAACTTCATCAAAACTCCTATTAAAAAATAATATAAATTAACCATGAAATTTTCCACATTAATTGCAATCATCTTTGGCCTATTAACATCGATGGCGCTCACTCCCATTAAAGGTAAACATGAATTATCAGACAAAATATTTAAATTTTTGATAATATCTGCTCTAATAACTTTATATATATTTGTTGGATTGAATAAAATAGCTGATCATAAAGTGTGGATACATAACAAGGTTATGGCTGGTACACATACATTTGTTACAGCTTCCTTAACAAACGGAGAAGGGGGACAATTCGCCAGCAAAGATGCAATTGCTTTCAAGGATTATTCTTTGACTATTCCTGATAATGTAAGCACATATTACCTCGATTTCGCTGTAGAAAAAGGTATTTCTAAACAGCGTGGCCCAATCACTAATGATGGGGATAAATGTTATCGCTTTCATGATAATGTAGCTGATTGGGATGTATTTGAATGTTAAACCAATTTTATTCGCTGAGCGGCAAAATGATCATTCATTATTTTTTTAATTTTTTTTATCCATTTCTTATATTATGTTATGTCCATTCATTTAATTCATTTTATTATCATAATGATTTTCAAATTTGGCACCTCATAAAGATTGTAATAATGATAGTTAAAAGAATCCCTTAAATTGACATAATTATTACCTTATTTCTGCTATATTTTTATATATTTTTAAACTTTATTTTATTTT